TCTTCTCCTTCCCCAGTGGGGACTACGAGAAGTACTACACCTTCTACGTGCGCAGCAAGATCAACAGCTACTGTGGCAGCACCCAGCTCTGGAGTGAGTGGAGTGTCCCTGTGGTCTGGGGCAGCAACTCTACCAGCAAGGGTAGGTCCTGGGGGCTGCGGTGGAACAGGATGGGCTGGGGCATGGTGGGGCTCAGCAGGCGAGGGATGGCCAAGCAATTGCAAAACTGGCCCGAGGCAGCAGCTGTAGTGGTGAGACCCATCCAGGTACCTGGGGCGCAGGCAGCAGCAGCGACCCCTGTGTCCTTTGTACTTCTGGAAGCCAAACACACCCCACCGGCGGGATCTGCTGACTTTTGCCAGGGATTTCTTAGTCCTGGGGGGCTGCTCTGGCACAGCTGGTCCAGAGCAGGATCACCAGCCAGTTGTGGTGACAGTGTGGCAGGGCTTGGGGATGGGCCCCTTCTCCATCCTCTGCTCCCAGCTGAGCCCTGCTACGAATGATGCCAAGCTCCCATGGCCACCGATGAAGGGCCACCAGCATGCCCACCCCACTGCTGTGGCGGAGCACCAGCCAAGGGTCTGTGTAACCCCGGCTCTTTTCAGGCATGGTGGAGGAGCAGCTGCACTGGTTCTGGATCCACATGGTCTTGATCCCTGTTGCTTCCTGCTTGCTCTTGCTGGTCCTTGTAGTCCTGCTGGTGCGCATGGAAAGGTGAGCGTCAGGGGCTGGTGGGGGACAGCAGTGCTGGGGCTCTTCCCCTCTGACACATCTCTCCCATGCAGGGTTTGGGTCATCCTCATGCCCCGAATCCCCAACCCCAGCAAGAACTTCGATGAGCTCTTCATCACCCACAATGGCAACTTCCAGGTAAGGCGGCTGCGTGCAGCCCTGCCCCAGGCTCACCCCTTGCTCCTTGGGGTTGGGACTGGGCTGGATGGTGGCTCCTCTCACCCTGCTCTGCTCCCTGGAGGAATGGGCTGGAGTCCCCAAAGACTTCATGGAGAGCTTCAAGCCCAACTACAGTGAGAATATCTGCTACGTGAGTGAGCTGCCCACCAAGGAGAGCTACGAGCCCCGCTGGGAGGGCAGCAACCATCCACCGTCTGTGATGCCTGGGAGCCCAGCTGCCCCCCAGGAGCACAGCCCCTACAAGAACAGCTATGTGGGAGCGTGACGCACTCCTGCACCCCTGTGCCCTGCACGCTCTGCATCCCCGCTGCCTGAAACCTCACACCCCGCAGCCCTCGCTCCCTTCTCCAACCCTGCCTCTGCCAAATGCCCGGGAACCCCAGCCCTGCTCCCCGAGCCCCGCTGCGACACAGTGGCTGTATTGCGCTGCAGGGTGCTAGGTGTGCTGGGTGCACTGGGTGATGCAGTGGGTGCAGTGCGCAGGGTGCTGGATGCACTGGGTGGTGCAATGGGTGCACCCTGGGTGCACTATTTGTTGCATGCGTGTGATGCATCAGGCGCGCTGGGTTCTGCTCTGGGTGCATTGCAGCACACTGGGCGCACTGCACGGTGTTGCCAGCACCTGCCCTACCCTTGGGCCATCCGTGAGGGCAGGGTGAGGAGTGCCAAGGGCCAGAGGGGCCGGGAAAGATCAAAGCACAGCAGTAAGCTACGCCTGCACGAATCTCTGATAAACAGGCGAAAACAGCAGGTTCAGTGATCCCCTAGCATGGACGGAGCCCCTTGGTGCATGTGTCCCCGCTTGTGTGCCTCTGCCTGGGTGCTGCTTGGGGGATCCTCCGGTTGGTGAGGTAATGAAAATAAATTTACTCTTTGCATTTCATCTGTGGTTTTGTGGTTGCTCCTGCATCCTGCCTGTGCCGGCTCACACACCAAGCCACCATGTCACCCCCGGCCCCAAGGGCTGCTGTCTCCTCAGGGCCTCGCTGCTCCTTCACCTGTGCCTGGGGTTTCCTGCTGCAATAAAACTCTGCTGTGCTGGGGGCTTAGCGGGTCCCATCTTGCAGGGTCTAGGGTAAGCGCCAGTGGAGCCCTGCAGCCTGCCAACCTCTGACCTCCCAAATGCCACCATCCTAGCCCCACGGTCCAGGGCTCACGGTCCCAGGCTCATGGCAGCAGCATGTTTGTCTACATCAAGGATGGGGGTGAGCCCTCTCCTAGCCATCCCACGGGTGCCTGCTCCCTAGGCATGGCGGGCGGCACTGTG